AAAAATGGCTTCTAATAGTTAAACATGCGACAGGTAGTAAAAAGTACGTAATTTTGTCTCACCAGAAAGGATAGATGACTAGTCGAGTGAGGAAAAAACTTATGCTGAACACAACAAACAGGCCATCACACAGCCTCTGGTACTTGGCATAGTTGGCCAACTTGGCAGCCTTTGGATATAAATAAGAGATTACTAAGTCAGAGGATATCACAGCAGTATCTTTGATGTCATTTACAGCAATGACATCTAGTTACTGAAATGCTAAGAAGCATGTTTTGCGTTTTTTATCCCTCCATCAGACAGGTATTACAAGTAGCTAACATGTACTTTTACTACGTTATAATTAAACAACTACATTTCAATGACATCTTGTCACTGAAGTGCCAATGAGAGATGTGTTTTTCTGTCAGACAGGTAGCACAACTTTGCGCTACAACATTTCGAAGACACCTCATCAATCAAATTCTAGTAGTGTTTTTCTCTGTCAGACGGGTAATACAAGTATCTGACAACACAGCTCATGTGTCACCAGCTCTGTTTGCCTACATTTTGCATAATAATGTGAGGCTGCGCCTAGTTAAACCCTCATCAAGTTTGCTTCTTGGAACCGGAGCTATAAAAAAATAATCATCATTAAGTTCTTTACCTCAAGGAAGATGTCGGATGCATCGTGCACACACATGACCAAAGTGCCAGCTCTTAGCATGTTGTTGGCATAGGAGAATGTGATGAGCAGTATGGTGGCCAGGTGGTGGACAAGCATGATCATGAAATCCTGTCGTCAGTGAAATGAAGAGAGATGACAGAATGACATTAAAGTGGTTAATAGGAAGCTCAAGATATTTGTATTGTAAATGAAAAACACTTGCAGCTAATGACACAAACTGATCAAGTTGCTGGGTGTAGGCTAATCGTCACTGCCGTCTCCGTACATTCATCAAGACTATCAGTTACACACCAACTGAAAGGCTTTGTGTTCAATACTGGGATGACAGGCTAATGTGAAACTATAAATAAAAAGCATTGCTAATCTCTGTGACGCAGCAGCCTTTCATCGTATAACCTGTTCTGTCGGAGCACATTATAAATCTAAATACGCCGGTAAACATTAAAATGTTATGAAAGTTACGCCTGTAAACACACCGCTAAAGAAAGTAAGAACAATGGATATGATGTGAAGTGAATATGGAAAGCAGGCGAAACTGTTCTGATACAAAGGGCGTTGAGAGGCAGCACAATAGTGTTAGTTGAGCCGTTGCTGACTCACCTTACGTTTAATGTCTGTGAACTGGGAAAACATCAGAGACCAATAGAAAGCCAGTTCAGCTACGTAGTAGTTGTACTGGCCATGGCTGACCGGCTTTTGGAGGGAGTGAAGCAAAAATACCTTTTACAAACATGTAGCACCTCTGGCCTACCAACATTATGGTTCTGAACAGATAAGAGTCATAACATGGGCCGCTGAATATGATGATTCTGCAGGTAATGAAAAAAATGATTAACCTGAAAAGGATAGTTGTGCCAGCACTGTCTGGTATCCCACATCCAAGGCGACTATCAGAAACAGATTAAATGTGCATATGAAGCCTGTCTCTGAGTAGATCAGAAAAACATACAGTAGACTTGTTCACTTCGCGACAATATCAGTATGGTGCAAAAGCATGCAGTACGCTAATTCAACTCACCACCCACAAATGACGAATGGCATAGATAAAAATCCCCAGGTAAAATGTAAATCGCCACCTGAAGTGAAAGAAAAGAGTTGCATTGTCGCTGGGAAAACAGAGCAATGTTGCTGGTTCTTTTCTTGAAAAACAAGTCACGCTAAAACCTCAGTGAGGCTGTACTTAACCACAGCAGTGCTTGGAGCTACATGCTATGGTCAGAATGCTAACATTTACCATGTTCTCTAACTGGACTGATGGGAATGTCATGAGTTGTGCAAGTATTTGGTCTGAATGTTTGTGGCAATCCATCCAATTGTTGACTTCAGATTTCACTCAAAAACCACAAATGTAAACCTCGGTTGAGGTAGTAGCTGAGATAGTTCAGATAGTTCAGATAGTTCAGATAGATAGATAGATAGATACTTTATTTATCCAGAGGGAAATTCAAGCATCCAGTAGCATACAAAATACAAACATACATTAAACTAAAATTAAAAACCCT